GACAGGAGCAAATGACTGCCAAAATTATCCCATTTATACTCAGGAACAGTGGGATTTGGAGAGGCCGCTACTCGAAAATTGTGGGAGTGAAAGGTCTTGAGAATTGCACACGGAAGTTTCACGAGAGGTCAGGGGAATACCAATTGTGCAATAAAGTAAACAAAATCGTATCATTTTCAATAATCCAAAAATTGAAGTCCCGTTTTTCTAACGGTTTGCTGACTAAATGGCTTTTTTTTTAGCTGTTTACTGACTAGGGCTATACCCCATTGACAACCTCCAGCATATCCCCGTCCGGCTAGCCTTTTGTTGAATTACGGTCACTTCGCTCCATGGTTAGATCACTCCAACCAAAGGTTAGATCGCTCCACACTGGCCGAGTCGCTACTTTAGCTTAGCAGTGGATGAAAGAATGAGGAATAATCTAAATAGTCCATGTGCGCGTTGGAGCGAAATGACTTGCAGCGGTCCGAAACCATGGAGTGAAGTGACCGCGGGATACCATTCTGTTGAATCAAATATTTGGAATCTACTCGCTCCTCTTGATTTAAAGCTGACAAACGAAATAAAATGCGGGCATTTGGTTCTAGTTGGCTGCAGCTATTAATACAGTAGTATGTACAACAGTTTTGTTTACTCGTGTCTTTTTATATCGATACATGGATGATAAGGATCTTTCATCGTCAACATCGATCCTGTTCCCAATTTCTGAGTCCACACACATCTTCTCATTGGCGCTATCTCTTGAAATTCTAGATAACCCAAGGCGGAAAAATAATAATGAAAAAATTAGATGTTGAACATGAATTTTTATCCCTGTATGCAAATATTTATAGCTAGCCAAGTTTGCTTTTCCTTGCTTGTCAGTAATTACCAATACAATCGGAGGACGGGTTCGAAACCTGATGAAGCCCTGAAATATATTTTTTTCGGGCTTAATCTGCAATCAGTTCAATTGCGATTACAATTGCGATGGTCAAAAACTTGACTTTTTTCAAGGTTGCGTTACATCCGGTAATTTTGATTACTTGTTGATCTTACCTTCAAACTATGTACAACCTATTCCTCCTACAAAAGTTTTAAAATAAATTAGAAAAAAAAGAGGCGTACAAACGTTTAGAATGAATTAGACAAAAAGAGGTGTAACTATCAGTAGAATTACTTAGACTGAACCAAATCAAATGAGATCTCTTACTTTCTCAACAAAGTTATTTCCCCCGGGGTGGTGGGTGGTACTCCCGGAAAAATTGTGCG